GTTTCAATTCTAGTAACGATGACGTATGCGAGCCTCAGTCGTTTACACTCCCGCTCCCCGACGTGTGGGACCGCAGCTAACAATTATCTCCGTGTGCATTTCATTCTCAGCAATAGCCTTCCCGGCGTATACGACCCATCTGCTGTCCTCAACATCAATCAATTCATTCACGGATGTAGAAGACTCGAAACAACTTCAGAAATAATCACGACGAAAATTTTAACAAAATTATGCAATTAAAACAAGGTTTGAAAACAACGAGTAAACACAATGAATCCAAAAACACCACCAATTGATATGACACACCACACGTATACACAAACAGTACACACAAACTCGCAGTTCATGTCTTGATGGAATTCCTTTGAAGAATCGCAGGACTTACACCAGTACGCCTACAACCCTTCACAGGTTGACGATTGTAAGTTGTGGAACGTCCGGACACAAACAAGATTAACCAACAATTACAATAATTGGAACTCACACAATTATTTAACACAAACATATGTACAATCAACACATATGTTGTGGATTCTGCCTTGATGAACTACCCTTGAAGAACTGTAGGACTTACAGCAGTACGCCTACATTCCTTCTCAGGTTGATGATCCAAGTGGAAGTCGTCCGGACACAAACAGAATTACCAACAGCTAGATGACAGATGATATCAATTCAGTATATACAATGTGAACATATGTACAAAATCACACACCAAGCACATTGGACTGCTCATTGATGCGCTACTCCTTGGAGAATTGTAGGACTTACAGCAGTACGCCCACAAACCTTCTCAGGTTGACGCTCTAGGTTGGAAAATCGTCGAAGAGTTCATTTGCTGACTTCCTTCTATCAGCTATATCCTCAAATCTGAACGGTAACACGCTCATGTCATTGTACCGTAGAATATAGATGACGAACAAACACACGACGTATCTGGTCAACCAAGCGTAGAAACAGAGTAATTTACACAAAAGATAATAACATTCAAATAGTAACTTGAAACTAGAAATGCCTTTATTCACGCAAGTCAATTTAATAATTAACTCGTATACACTTGGTTTATCCTCATTGAGCTGACTAATATCTTCGTCTTTTCAAATTCAATGATCTAGCATAGTCAAAGCATAAGGCATGCGAGGTCATGACGTCCGTTTCATCATGGACGACAACAGCGACTTCGACTGAGTGACACAAGTTAATGAACTTAGCGGTGGATCCGAAGCTGTTGTTGTTCGGCTTTTAGAAGCTTGTCTGACTGCAAGATTACCACCACTGCTGTGTTTTATAATTAGCTCCGGTTTAGCACTAGCATCTGATGATAGGTGGGCTACATGCTGATCATTTACACTGACGGTCTCATGAGTATCCACACCTTCTTCTAACGCATCTGCCTTTAATTCTACTTCACGTTCAGATTGTACAGAATCTTTGTACAACCCATGAAGAGTAGGCTTTCCACTCATCTCATCATGATCAACCAAAAACAAATCGGCACTATCATGATCATTATCACAAATATTCACTTTACCTCCGTCTGTATGATCGACTTTAGAATCTGCGAACTCTTCAATAAAAGCAGTAAACAATTTGGGTTCTTTCTCACAAATCCTCAAAGGGTTTATACCTTCACTCGGAATAGTAATACCTTGTAAACTTGTGGAGTCAGAACTGGACCGTGAAACTGTAACTCTCTCCTTCTGCACAAAGTGCGGTGTCGTCTGTAACACTCTATTCAACAATTGCTTACCGGTTGCAACTACGGGCTTCTTCACCGCTCCATTATCGTCACATGCTTCTGAGTCAGACCTTGATTTCACATTTAGCTTACCACTAATCTTGGTCACTTCTTCACAGTTCGCCTTTGTGCGCACTTCTTGCAAACGTGTAAAATACAACCGTGTTTGTCTCGCAACTTGTAACCTATCTGTTGCAGATGTCCCAAGAAAGCTGTTACACTCACTGAGTTTGTGTGGATTACTAGACACCATAGAGCCTTCTCGATATCCACTTCTCTGAAACCCTTTCGTCATCAATGATTGCGTTTTGCTCTCAGACTGCTCTATTCTAGGGGTGGTATGCAATATACCGGCAAACTTACTCATAGATTGATTAACACTATCGCCTACCAGTTTCAGAATAGCATCGAACTTTGGCTCGATACCTTCATCCTCTATACGGGAGCTTATCTCCACCCACTTTCTTTGCAGTCGAGCAGGTAGGTGTCTCGCCATTACATCTAGGACTGAACATGAGTTCAGATCACTCATACAATTCACCGAAATCAACGTATTCATGTAAGTCATCAGATTATTCAAAAATTCAGATAGTGCCAAGAGGTCGTCTCGTAATTGAATAACATTACCCTTGACAGGCTGGAAAAAGTTCCTTACAATAATCGAAGGTCTTCCAAAATTTGACGAAGGGTATCTCCGAAGTTTTCTCCTTTGTTGTCTACCTGTTATCCTTTCTACTGTGACACGTTTAACATTATTTTTCCTCTTACACACCAAATATTGCTGTTTTCAAGACACCTCCAAACCAGCCAGGACGATTCTTTGCATGCTATCAGTATACTGTTCACGTCGAAGTATTCAGCATAATGACTCACGGAATAATTATGACAGTGGTTATGACAGAAATAACATTCCTTTGCTCTCGAATCCCGTATGCTTGCCTCCTATACCTAGGGGCTATGATTATGGTGGAATACACTCACTAAGTAATAAAAACTCTCGTGTATGAAGTTGAAAGTGTCAGATAAACATGTGGGCAGGATAGTTACAACAAATAGGAATGGTTTTGCTGCTGAATATACAGTTTTTCAGAAAGTTTTCGATTTTTGTGTGTGCACAGTTTTTCCTTGAAAAGAATTTTTATGATGGAATTTCATACAAGATAGTGTTTTTACGCACGATAACCAACGTAGCGTTATTAGTCCCGTTAGCAAAAGGCCTAGTGTCCTTGGCAGGCAGCCCTACATGCACTCATCGAACCAATGCTATCAGGTAGCAGGAGAAAGCAGTTACGAAAATACAGGGTTCTTTCACAGCATTTGACACGTTTAAGTTGTGATACTATTGTCTGGGATTACTCTCAAAGTTAATACATCGAAAGATAGCATTTCTCAAAAGTTCGCAAATTACTACTGGACAGTGATTCATTTCTACAAGACTTGACATTGTTGTCAAAGGCGGTACTTACTTCAAACGGTTTCGACACTAACGTTGCCACATGTCAAGCATATAACTGTTCTTCCGCCAACATAATTTAATATAGTCTTGACCCTGGTAGACACCGCTATGGACTAACTGCCTAACCTGAAATTGTGAAATCCAGTACTGACTGCTTGGCTTTCACAGACATAAGTGCGACTATTGATATTTCTGTCCTCTGGAAGACTGGATGAAGCATGGTCAACCTCTGTGCAAGAAATGGAGACCTGGTATTAGAGAAATAAGCGGTTTGTTACTTGTTTAGCAAATTTTTAAAGGGATAGAAATACAGGAATTTCTACCACCCAGTGGAGGTAGATTCGTTAGGTGCGCTGAAAACTCGCCATTGTTCACCAAAACCAAACGTATACATATATACAACCATAGCTTTGTGTCATATACTGAACATCTGCACACACTATAAAACTACCAAGTGAACTGCTTGTGCATGAGTAGACTTCTGACTTCTGTTGCTTATGCACAGCAGATGGTATCACTTTTCATTCTTCACCTGAACCAAAGTTGTCATATATGAGCTTGTTGGCTTTCAGCTTATGCTATCAATATGTCCATCTAGTTCATGTAGTCCATTGGTCATTGTTTCATATAAAAACGTAGACAGAAGCTCATCCATAGTAGCCTTATTCCAACAAAGGTCAAATTGAAACCTGATGTTAAGTAGTGCTACCCACTGGACTGTTCCTTCCTGTGCAAATTAGCTAATTTATCAGGAATGTCTGCGCCAGCTTGCCTTGTCTTTGTTGAACCTTCTAAAAAGAAAAAGACTCAAGTAAAGATGCGTTATGATCAGTAAGGAAGGTGAAATGGAATAACTGTTTGACGCGAACTAGGAGACTGTTAGTAAATTGAGTCAGAGCAAAGGATTAAAGTGTCTATAGCTTATATTTTTATTTTCTTTTAGAGCTTGATTCCACACTAAATTTTGGGTACAAGTATGGAATTTTCAGCATGTGATATCAGTAGCCCAAATTTTGCAGGCCGACCATAGATATCAGGTGTGCGTCGGCAGGGGATCGAACTCCTGACCATATGCATGATCGGCTAGAGTCCTAACCACTGTGCAACCGGGCCCAGTGCTGTTGAAAAGTAGTGCATGCTTAGCTTACACCGCATAACACGTGCAAATAAATTGATATACCATGACAGCACGACAAGTGGCGCGGGTACTTGATCACGAACCCAAAACAACCAGTCTACTAAAGTAATGAAGGTCAGCACCCATGGCTAGATGATAATGAAGCTGTATTCTAATAACTCCGAGGGTTTTTTTACTCCTATATAAGTTTCGGCAAGCATTATTCGACAACATAAACGACTTATGTAACATAGGACCAGCGCTCTTACTGAAGATGTGGCAGCAACCACAACTTCATCACCCATTAATTCGGGGTGTGCGGAAAGCTTTTTTGAACCGTAAACCATTATAATTGTGTACTGGCTCCAAACTAGGACTTACATGACCAGTTACATGGACCACTGCCAAAATTCTTCTCCTGCAAGTATTTTCGACTGAAGTTAGCACAGTTCTCATTGTGTGCATTTATCTATCTATGTATCACACAGGTGATTACCCATAATTTTTTCAAACTGTAGTATATCTGTTTAATGAATATTAACTGAAATATCTAATTTACCAGAAGTGAAACAATGCGGGTGCACCATTAAACCGGACTTTTGAGAGTTTGAAGACTGAAAAATACTTTTTAGTGGTTTTAAAATAAATTTGTTATTGTTCACTAATGATGTGCGTTGCAACCTTCAGCGCCTATTCTAACGGGGTTACAGTGAAGTATGGTTTCGGAGTGAGTGTTTATTGTTATTGTAAAGTATTTCATTTTCTACTATATCATCGTGATGCTATCTACTAGCATTTAAATTGTCTTTCTTTACAGGGACGAAAGAAATGCTGCTACTTTCATAGCACAGAAAATAAAGATAGATGAGTTGATGAACATGGAGATGGTGAAAGGAGACATATGGTATTATTCTGAAATGCTGCTAACAGGTTTTCAGGTACATCCTTTCTATTAGCTGGTGGACAAAGTGGGAAGGATTTGTAGACCTAGTGTCCAAAGGTGGGGTGGTAGACGAGACTTCTGAAGAGTATCCAGGGTCGGTTAACAATAGTGATATATTATGTAGGTCGATTTATTAATGTTCTTCATTTCGACCCAGGTGGTGGAAAGTTGAAAGAAAACTTACTCCTGGAGAATGATATCACCCTGATACCCGAAGACGCCTGGAAATTGTTTGTCGGCTTTTATGGTTGTGTGCATTCAAACACATCTGTTTTTGAACGCCGTGCTATCCAAGCACCAAAATCTGTAGAAGTTGAACTGTACCCACCACACTATTCGTTTTACTTGAATTCCACGAATTCCAGTGCCACATTCATCTTCGAAGGAACCTATTGCAAATTCCAGACAATACGTACGTTGTGTTACCTTACAAATATTCTTGATGTGGTTTTGTTCTCTGAGCTGGATGGTTAGTTTGCGAAGCTTTCATCGCCCTACTGGGTGACATCTTCAGCTCTGACGATGTCACCCAGTAGGGCGATGAAAGCTTCGCAAACTAGCCATCCAGCTCAGAGAACAAAACCACATCAAAATTATCCACCTGAGCTACAAATCTTCTCTATCATATCTTACAAATATTCTTTAGGAGACCTGAAATTGTTGGTTGCACAGCACCTCAGAACTGCATCGGGTGTAAATATTCGACTGTTGATACACAATGAAAGAAGCGAATTTGAGGAGCTAGATGAAGATGATGCAACCATAGAAGAGGCAAGCTTGGAGCGCGAAAAAGTAAGATTTTAGTAAGCCACAACTTTAGACTTTTATGAATATTACTTACGTGATTTTGTAAAGACCTAATGGATAAAAGAAATGGCTTTGTAAACCTGTTAGTCAATGAGTATTTCAGTCTTTACTTCATTCCTGAAGCTCCATGCAGATGAACGTAGCAAACTACCTATGCCAACAGTTATTCATTTTTACCTACGCGGTAGTTGTCGATTTGTTATTACTGAATGTCCCCATAGCTTCATTGTTGTTGGAATTATTATAGATGATTGAGTTTTTAAACATGCCTAATGGATTCCTGTAGGCATAATGGAAACTGAGAAAGCTCACATGAGCCGGTGTGTTGCTTAATATAGGTGTGTTGCTTAATATAGAAGTGTGTAGCAGCAATTCTTAATACGAAAAACGTGTAACATACATCAAACTATCAGTTGGTATGTAATTAGTCGGGAATCTTTTGTAGCTTTGACTAAAACGTCAGAGGAAGTTTTAATAATTAATAGTCGTTTTTGGGTCGATGATGGTGCCACTATTTGACGATAAGAATTCCGAAAAGCAGTTCTACTTTCCAACATGCTGACATTAATCTACAAAAGATACTTTTGATGTTGGTTTTATTTTTTGTACGTTTCACAACATCTTAGAACTTGTCTTACGTAACATTACGTTTTGTCTGTGTTTGAAAACGTGTTCTGTCATCATAATCTCTTCTTTGTCTAGGAAGTAGTGTTTTATATGTAATTCTTATATGTATTAACATCCGACGGGTTTTAACCCACTTCAGCAATTGATCGCAACTTCGTCACATGTGTGTGTACTCTGGTTGTTTAAGTGTTTGATCTATTGATAATCTATTCATATGTATATCCTTCCTCTAAAATGTTGATGTATAATTCTAGCATTCACTATGTTATCAACACTACACGTGGAAAAGTTCTTATGATTATTCGTCAGTAATGTTTTTAATGCACTTGATATTGTTGTTTCATTATTATAATCAACATTGTCTAACTGACAAGTTTCCTTATAGAACTTTGCACCGGTGTGCAGCAGTTCGAGTCGCCACACTTCATACATCACACAAAGCCTGAGAAGAAGAAGAAAGTAAAAATAAACGCAAAATGGAGACAGTAAAGAGAGATATGGGGCAAAATGAATAGTAATATGGAGGAACCATAGAGTTGTATTGGATATTATAGGTCACAAGGAATGGATACATCTGTGCCAGCCACTGCGAACGATTTTGAGCCATATCACCGATTGTCTCCAGCCATTGGTGTTTACTGTCCCGAGGACCCCAACCAGTCAGGAAGTCTACGCCTTGCTACGTGGCTGGCTGGCTTAAATTAACTGTCGTGCATTTCATTCACTGATGGAGCCATATTTTGGTTTGACCACCACTGGCTCTTTTCCAACCTCATCTGTCCTATATCAGCTAACATTGTCCATCGAGGGAGGCGAAAGCCATGTCCTAACCATCTCAGTCGATGTGGTTTCACAGCCTCGTCTATTGATTTCCCCTCCTCACCTAGGACTCGACGGATGCCTAATCTTAATATTGCTCACCCTATCATACCACTAAACACACGAGATAGAATGCAGGCATCTATGATCAAAGACAGCCAGTTTTTTCATATCTTTCACTCTTAATTTCTCGGTTTCACAGCCATAAATAAGGACGGAGCGGACTGCTGAACAGTACTCACGCTCTGTAGTCGACAGCCGGATACCATGTCTACGCCAGAGGTGGCGTAAACTGGCGTATGTGGACCAAGCCTTCTGTACCCGCGCTTAGATTTCATCACTGACCAACACGTTGGGGCTGACGCTGTGCGTCGGTGGCACATTGGTTAGGACTCGCCGATCATGCACATAGTCCGGAGTTCGATCCTCTGCCGACGCACACCTGTTATCTATGGTCGGCCTGCAAAATTTGGGCTGCCGATATCACATGCTGAAAATTCCATACTTGTACCAAAATTAGGGTGTGGAATCAAGCTGTAATAAAAAAAACTTCCCAAATAAGTGAAATGACCAATTGGCTCTTCCACTTCACTCTATTTCCAAGCTAGGGGGCAATATAGTCCAGTCCCGTAGCGATCAACATTGTAGTCTATGTAGAAAACCTTTTTTCCATCAAAAGTACTCAAACAGATCAGTTCTGCATCATTTTGTCCGCTGTAATGAGTACATATACTTCTTGTGTCCTCAAATAAAACTTTCAGGGGACATTTTCGTCTTTTTCTGTGTGCGTTGACCAAGATCTGCTGGCTGTGTGTTCAATGTGTTCTCCAAACTATGTGATTCGACGCCAGTGCACCTGCTGTGCTTCTAAAATGTTGGGAGTCATCTGGCACAAATGTCTAGATGTAGATATGCTTATCAATACTCAGCAAGGCCTTTATTTTCACATATCTACATGAATATTTGGGTTAACTTAAAAATTTAACATTTCTTAGCTTCAAATCTGTCGTGTAGAGATGCTTATGTGTCGATAATCAGTCGCAACGAACTGTTGGTAGTTTGCTGAAAATCTAAAATTCGTGTTGTTTGCAGCTTCCACTTGGACTGTGGGTGCTGATATCATCTCTCCATGAGTTGTGTTTTCATGTCAACGAATCTGAAATTACGTCATTGCATTATGCATGAATTCACAATGAATCGCAATTTGTAAAACAGCTGTAGATATAATCAAGAAAATTTTTAATAAAAAGCCTCAATTATGTTGCTAGTCTTGATGTGTATTATTTTTCCAACCTCCAGGTTATTTACGTTCAACTGGAACCGAGAAATGGAATACACACTGAGTAAGTAACAGGTCGCTGACGTGCTTGATTTACCTGGAAACTTCCAATATAAATTCTGCGGTATACAAAGGTATTTGCTGACTAGATTCCTTTAATTTCTAATATGGTGTGAAATGTCGTCTACCTTCATTTACGAAGAGACAATGTTGTGTTAAATAGGGATTATCAGATACATTCCATGAGTGAAAATTCACTTATGTATATAAATGAAGTAAAATGTTACGTGAGTGACTTGATGTGATTATGAGCAATAAGTTGTGCTCAAAACTTCATTAGTTAATATTACTGTATAACACTGTGTGATTCATCAAAATAAAATCTACCACAGTGCCCAAGTTTATGCTTATATCAATTATCAGATACAATTTTCAGAGACAGGTATCGATGATTTGTTGGAAGTCATCCACATACGGACCAAATTGTGTGTCAATGTGCACCAGTTCTACTTGAGGTCCCTTTAGTTGTAAAGTCCCACAGCTTATGAAGCACAATGGTCAAAATGCCCGAATAGGTTGCAATGCACCAGCGGCAGGCAATAGTTAAGACTTTTACCTAACTGGTCCTGGTGAGAAATAGTGTGTTGATCAACAACTATCAAATGCGCTTGAAGTGGTTAGCGGAGTACTTTCAAAAGAGATTCAACTGACACACAGCAATAGGATCGACTATCATAAAGCACAAAGCTCCGTTGTCAATGTTCATTGAACCACTGAAGCACCATAAGTCATCTGGTTGGTTCTACTTAATTATGGCGGATGGAGAGTTTCTTTATCTTGAAATGAGGTTGGCATTGTTTCCCGCCTATATACTCTATGTGCCACAAATGGGTTTAATGTTGTTGCCGTTTTTGACAAAATATTTTTCATATCACGCTTCGCGGCTTTGGTAGGACTCACGAGGAACCGAGTGGGTTTCTTTCATGTCGTAACTGTAGTGACTCTGGATACACTTATTGTGGACCACTTTGGATCAACTCTGGCTCCATCATAAAGTTATTCTGAACATAAATGACTGACTGACTGGTTTCATTATAGAACTTTGCACCGGTGTGCAGCAGTTCGAGTCGCCACACTTCATACATCACACAAAGCCTGAGAAGAAGAAGAAAGTAAAAATAAACGCAAAATGGAGACAGTAAAGAGAGATATGAGGCAAAATGAATAGTAATATGGAGGAACCATAGAGTTGTATTGGATATTATAGGTCACAAGGAATGGATACATCTGTGCCAGCCACTGCGAACGATTTTGAGCCATATCACCGATTGTCTCCAGCCATTGGTGTTTACTGTCCCGAGGACCCCAACCAGTCAGGAAGTCTACGCCTTGCTACGTGGCTGGCTGGCTTAAATTAACTGTCGTGCATTTCATTCACTGATGGAGCCATATTTTGGTTTGACCACCACTGGCTCTTTTCCAACCTCATCTGTCCTATATCAGCTAACATTGTCCATCGAGGGAGGCGAAAGCCAGTCATGCATGCGTAACGCATGTCCTAACCATCTCAGTCGATGTGGTTTCACAGCCTCGTCTATTGATTTCCCCTCCTCACCTAGGACTCGACGGATGCCTAACCTTAATATTGCTCACTCTGTTAAGGTGACCATAATTGTTTGAATTTTTAACGATGGTGCTTTCAGATCTGCTTATGGTGTGTGGAATCCGGCATTACTGAACTTTTAATGTTCGCTTATCTTGTATCTGCTTACCACTATGCGTAGGACCACTTGTTTCAGTCATGGATATCACTTGGGTAATTTTATTAACATTTGTTTGGAGGCGATGTAAAGAATGCCAAGTGCTTTCTCGGTTACACTGAATGAGAATACTTGCTTGTTCACCTTATTTTTGCCTTGGTGCCATATTGTACCAAGTTTTTTATGCGTTTAAATAAATAAATAAATAAACTATCCTCACTTTAGTCTTTAGTTCTTAACGTTTAGCTCACTTCCCGTTGTTCATACTTCATTTAGCTTACATTTTATTAATGAAATGAAAATTAAGTGCTATCGTCTATTCGACTATCGTGGAATTTGCTGTTGATGTGGTCAGAAGACAATACTTTGTATTCCAGCTGAACAAAACTATGCATTAAGTATTTCTTCAGAGGCATATCGTTTTTCACTATCTTATACTATCATGAGATTTACATAAGACATGTCTCATCTAGTACATAATCTTGTGCTTGGTAACCGCTTTGAAGCTATGATTTTGGTTAACATTTGTATTAATTTTTGTCTTACTATTTTTAAGTGATATTTTAATGTATAATGCTTGTTTTTTTGTCACATTTCTCTAATTCCAGAACACATGTGGATAGTTCACGCGTCAAACCAATCGATATATCAGGTGCTCGATCTGGATCGCAAATGTTGTCCTTACATGGATCTAGCGCTCAGTTAGTACCTGGAGTTTGCGGTTTGAATAATTTAGGAAATACATGTTTTATGAATAGTGCCATTCAGTGTATGTCAAATGTCCCTGCGCTGACAAATTATTTTCTAACCGGCAAATGGAAATCAGAACTGAATGTACGCAATCCACTGGGATCTCAAGGAAGAATTGCTACTGCGTATGCTGATCTCATCAAACAACTTTGGTCTGGTACACGACCGTATGCTGTCCCTCGTGATTTTAAGGTATTTATTTGTTGAGGATATCTTCTGGCCCAAATTAAACATGATTACAGATATTCTACGGGATTTGAATTTTTTACACTTTTGTACCCCTAACCTCTTTCTCCTGAACCAATCATCACTGCAGCTCTATAAACTCGTTTCTTTATTTTTCTTCTGCTCTCAACGTACTTTTTAATTTGCTACTATGAAGGCATTATAATTGCTCATAAACAACTTATCGCGAGTTGACTGAGGTAGATCTGTCCTACTCTTTTAAGTGAGTCTTAGACGCCTTTGGTTTGAGGCCTAGGAGTTAGTGATTTTGTGATTTTTGTTTAGTTTACAGGCGTTTATGTGGCATGCCCCTTTTGTGAAGTGGCGACACCCCTATTCCGTGAGTATCAAGGTGTTTCAATAAGTAGGTTAAAGTATACCAGCATTATTTCATGAAAATTCGATAATATACGTTCCACTTTTGGCCTTACTGTCTCCATTGAATGCATTACATTAAACGGATATCAGTATCAAGTGGCGTTTCTTGATAAAAGTGCAGCAAATGCAATGCAGTTCAAGAGTGTAATTCCACCTGTAATATGTACACCAGGAAACAATTTTTAGTGTGAAATTTCATTTACGATGCATCTAAAAATATACCTTGTCATTAAACCATCACAGCAACGTACTTTGATGCTGCAGTTGGCCGGGGTTTGCAATAAAACGATGTGCAATTAATTCTTCATGGTACTGCGTTCTTTGGAGTTGCCCTACGGATCAAGGTTACCCGTAATTTAACAGAACATAGATATCGTTTCATTTTCAGTTATAGTGTCAGTTAGCAGAGGTGAACTGTCCTATTGTATCCAATGTGAAATCACGCCATCAACCACTGTGAGACAGGAAACTTCCCAAATAACTGAATAAATTTACGTCATGGTTAACCATGACAAACTACTAGTCGTCAGTATTCAGTTCACCTGCTAAATTCACTCTTTCATACATCCGGTTCCATTTGTTACTTTCCAAAAAGAAAGAACGAGCATACCTACATGATAAAACCAGCACATTTTAGTTTGCGGATTCTCTTCAACAGCGCATACATCCTAAATAAATCAACTATGTTACAAAATGGTGCCTGATCATGCCTAAAAGTCTCTGTTTGAAATGCAGCTAACTATTCTCAAGCGCAATCGCCAGACACCTAATTGACACAGGATATACAGTGGAAATTAGTCAAGCCTTCAAAATAATCAATCAACACACAAAGAAAAGCATGGTTACTTCGGTTCGTGGAAGTCATTACCACCATCAAAATACTTCGACCCAACCTATGCATACAGGAAGAGAGTGTGACTAATCTCTCAATACCCGACCTGCTAACCATAATTGTTTTGTTCGTGTGCTTTTGTGTTTTGTTCTGTTGCATACACAACATTCCACTCAATCTTGATTTTGATTTCCACTTTCTGAGTGAGTTGAACTCACTGTTAAGCTTTCGAATCTCCTAAATGAAGTTATTTTACCTATTTTATAATTTTACCTCACTATTCACCCCACCACCACCCTCATGAATCCTCCACCATGATATGAATAAATTAACTCTCTGCTTGTATCTTGTATTTCGATCCGTCCTTCTTTTCAAGAGAAATCTGAGTTCCATCCCTTTGACTAATTATTACTTTATAAATAGTTATTCTTTTAACACTAAATAATTGTTTACTTACATCATCCTTGAAATTATGTTGCTTATGCTTATACTCTCTATCTATAACTTGAAGTCATTGTAAAAAGAAGTATTTTTCAGGGACCATTTTGTAACATATAATTGATCTAGTTAGGATGTATGCGCAGTTGAAGAGAATCCGCAAAATAATACGACCTCATATTATTCTGCAGCTATGTTCGTACTTTGACTTTGATCAGAACAGATATATTGGTAAACAAGAGTAACAGGATGAAACTTCTTCACTGACAATGTTTGTCTTTGCTACCGGAGCTATCTCTTAATAACACTTTACTTACACAATAATTTCAAACTAATAAATTTCACTGTCATCTGTATACTGGGTTGTTAAATTAATTTCTTTTCGTTTGAGTTTATTTTTTAAGTGGGTATTATTAAAACTAACAGTTTAATCTTTTCATATGAGTAATTTGCATGCTCCCCAGTCAATCACTTCTAGCGCATCACTAGATTCTAGTTTCCTTCTTCAGAAGAAACCCAGATCATGAATGCACGGTTTATCTGTTTGGAATTCTTATTTAGCGTACATTGATTACTAGATCACATGACTGGTATATTTTGAGCAAACTTGTTCACAAGTACTATTTCTCACTGACTGCTTAAGTTTATAAGATGGAATTTATGATTGAAGTTGGTGTATTTTTAATTCGTTTTTTGATATTATCACTCACAATCTTTGCATGTCTAAAGAAAAACAGCCTCTTAAATCGTAGACACACTTTTCAGCGTGTGTGTATGTGTCTAAATTACCGTGCAAAAAATTGAAAAGTTATCTAAGCTTCAATGAGTTCAGCTAATTGTTTAACGTTGTGACTGGATTATAGACGGTTTAGTATTTTAAGTAATAAATTTCATCTCTATGAAATTAACTCCATAGATTAATTTTTGAGGGATTTTCATTTTATAGTTTTATTATTGTTGATGAGTGTTTGATTATTACTGAGGAGCTACTATTGTAGCTTTCTTGACCATATCTCTACTTATGAACTGCTTGAAACAATAATTTCTTGCTAAACAATATACTTCTGTAGTGAGTGATCATACATAATCCCCAACAATTTTCTTAAGATATTAATTATTACCATATGGTTCTATTGGGGTGTGGGGTGGGGTGGATAACCGTTGTTCATACACAAGGGGAAGCAATATTACTGAAAGACCTTTAATGATTTCAATCTTGTCATTTATATGTCGTCTTGCATAAATCTCTGACTTGCGTACTTCTTTCACACTATGAATGCAAAGGGGAAAAGTTAAGAATATGGTCAGACTAGTTCTTCAGCCGTTTAAACATGTGGTGGTGGGTGGAACTTATCAGAGTTTCTTATAAATAACTGCACATCTAGAGAGACATAAGGTGGTTTACCTCAATTATGAAGGTTTTGTGAATTCATTTCACAGTGACATTGAATTCCCATTTCTTGATGTTCTAACCCGAAAACATGAACACGAATCATTCGTGTTTATTGTTTTTGTGAGGGATTTATTTTATACCTCTCTAGTTTCCTGGTATCATATCATTCTACTTTGACATAGTGAATGAATTTGTTTGTAGTTTTCCGGTGAATCTCTTTCTACTACCTTTTTTTCTCGTCTTTTGATATCAAAATTTTCAGATTGAAATTGCACGTATTGCTCGTCAGTTCTCTGGATATGCTCAACATGATACTCATGAATTACTTGTTTTCTTACTGGATGGACTACATGAAGATTTGAACAGAATACAATCAAAGCCATACATCGAAGTTAAAGATTCCGACGGTAGACCGGATATCGTGAGTTTATTCATTTAATATTATTATTCCCTTGGATTCGGAGTGGAACATAGGGCTCCAACAACACATCTCCACTTTGTTCTACTTTCTGCCATCCTGTTCAGCTGACTAACGCCTCGATTGCCTATAGTCGCCCATCACCTCCTCCCCACACATTCTCTTCCATGTCACCCTCACACTGATGACCCACTCGTCACTTCCTATTAAGAATCCACTCGAGCAATGGGCCTGCGTTTCGCGCAATGTCATTCGATGGCCTCCCCAATGTATACGCGATCCATCTCCATTTTCTCCTACGTATTGTTTTAATACAATAACTATTACCCGGTTGATAAGAGTGAGAGTAGATGCTGTGATGTTAGAAATTGTCAACTTAGTTTAAGTGAATTAGAGCCAATAAGTGAACATAAATGCGAAGTCAATCAGTCAGCTCTTCTATACAGGTCGCAAACTAGCACTGCGTGTCACGAAAACGATTTCCAACAAGCCACTGAAGACTTTTATCAACAGCTGCTCACTTTGCTGGCCGACCGGCTGGCCAGAATCAATTAGCAACAAGAAACTCTGTTTTGATAAAGTCTCACAGTGTTATACAGTAATGTTTACTGATGACCACGTTTCAAGCACAATTTATTGCTCATAATCATATCAAGGTACTCACACGACTTCCTAACTTCATTTATATAGTTCCATTATTTTTCACTTGATTTGATTGGCAGTTGTTGTGTTAACACACAGCCACGCAATAGGGTGGGAAAGGGTTAAAATTCTAAAAAGTAATCTAAATAGGTGGAGAGAGAGGTTGATTACTGAATCCTTGTTCATTGAGTCTACACCAAACACATGCAATAGGAATGAGTCATCACTCATACCTGAAATATGGAAAATACTACTGCCAATCAGATCAAGTGAAAAATAATGGAACTATATAAATGAAGTTAGGAAGTCGTGTGAGTACCTTGATATGATTATGAGCAATAAATTGTGCTTGAAACGTGGTCATCAGTAAACATTACTGTATAACACTGTGAGACTTTATCAAAACAGAGTTTCTTGTTGCTAATTGATTCTGGCCAGCCGGTCGGCCAGCAAAGTGAGCAGCTGTTGATAAAAGTCTTCAGTGGCTTGTTGGAAATCGTTTTCGTGACACGCAGTGCTAGTTTGCGACCTGTATAGAAGAGCTGACTGATTGACTTCGCATTTATGTTCACTTATTGGCTCTAATTCACTTAAACTAAGTTGACAATTTCTAACATCACAGCATCTACTCTCACTCTTATCAACCGGGTAATAGTTATTGTATTAAAACACAAACTTGTTACCTTATGGGTATCAAGAGATGCACCACATAAAATCCTATAGTTTATACAAAGGCTTGCAAACTACCCGGAGGTTTAGACCGAAGCAAGTGATTGTCTTGAGGGTTCATTCCTGGGTTTGATATCCGGCCCACAAGGCACGGAGACGACGTCAGGAGCTACACTTCCACGGTTTCAAGTTACCAAATCACGTCTGTACGCCACTTAGTCCTTTCGGAATCTGGAACCCATGTACATCATAGGTTTGATGTCAGGGTTTTCCAGCCTTCCTTGCTGTACTTGCATGTTCACCAATACGATTGTAGGCGCCAGAGGCTCACACTCACCTGTTTTCACTTTTGTGGGGAAAACTCCCACCAAGTGAAGTCAAAGGGAGTATAATTACTCATACAATGCATCTGATTTATAGCTTAGGTGTATTACAACAAAATCAATGACATTATCGCCTTTTTCTGAAAGTTTTATCAATACTAGGACCCACCTCCGATGTTCAACTGCTCCGCAGTTTACGTAATCACGATCTCCTCGCACTGAAACGCCTAATGCGAATTCACCCTTCCAGTCATAACAAACAAAAGTACGTAGGTACTTATATACACGAGTTTAAGAAAACCATACACTTCACGCATACTAAACTATGATGACGTTCATGTCCATAGCACTTATTCACACTAGACAACAAAGTTTTTCCTACATTTCTGTTTAAATAATTTAGAATAAGTAGTAGAAGTAGTTTGACGGCAGAAGACAAGGTCAGGCAACAAATCGTTTATTAAAGAAACCAACAGCTGTTTATAGATTCTCATGTACATTATAGTTTATTGTAAGCAAACAACAGTCTTCTGATTGGTGGTTTATCGCTGAACGTTAATCTTTCATCTTTTTGTGGCTGTTTCTTGAAGTTGAGATTATCTATCTGCGAATTGTGTCCGCCTACGCAAAGTCTGCTGTGGTTGGTTGTTGAGTCAGTCTTTGTTCTTATTATTCTCATGACCAACGTTGGGGAGCTGAACATTGACGTAAATTACTGTCTACCAATTTTGGCTAGCAGCCAGCTCTCACCACAGTAGTAGTAATGGAAGAAATCTAATAGACTGAGATTGAAGTGTAATCACCTGGAATATAATGTAGGGCAGATGAAATGAAATAATACACGTACCTTCCCTTGAGATTTGGATTACTACTGGAAATTTGAATTCCCCAACGAACAAGAAGCATGACGGTGTTGTTCTAACACACGTCTCAGTATTGAATACCAGTTACTTAACCAAAATAAAAGTGAGTGAGAATTTACAAAACCTCATCTCGTATTTATGAACTCCATCAAAGTTTTTCCCTATGAAGTAATTCTGCATTGTTGTTAAGTGAATGAATTACTAGAGACAGATGTGTGTGCGTGTGTGTGAATTGTTAAGTGAAAAATATTTATTTCGACAATGTTAGTTTGTTGAAGGAAGGTGTTAGATGCACCCTCACCAATTACTTTGATAAAGCCATCAGCGTTAAATAGCGAAACATTGTAACAGAGTAAGAGCTTTAATTCAATTTAGATTTTCCTGCTGATTGATTAGACCTAAGTGCTCGGTCTTAGGTAGACATGTCGGCTCCTTATGCAGATGCTTCGACGACGTCTGGTCATGTAAGTTGATTAATAAGATCCGTTGCATAAGAAGTGGCTGTCGTGGCCCAAGTGGTCTAATGGATAACGATTTGGCGTTTGAGACTGGACACAGGGTTCAAGCCTCGTTGGGAACAACATCACTGAATCACTGGGAAATGCAGGTACATCCAGTGACGAGTCCCAGTTAGGGTGAAATGCACGCTATCCTGGATCCCATGACCAGTTAATATCAACCAATATAGTGCGAGCTTGTTTGCATAAGTGCTAAATGGGAAATTATAAAGACAAAATGTAGAATAATTATTACAATTAAAAATTGAACAATTAGTTCATGTGGTATTTGCAAACTTCCTTTCCAGTTGTACTAGCTAACCGACCAATCACGACATTGACCGTCAAGAAATACAATCATATCACCTTCATAGAGAATTCAAACGAATTACAGAAATTGACACTGAAGATGTTGTTGTCTAAAAGGACAACGAAAGCTTTGCAATTCAATCAACCAGCTCAGAGAACACGACTAAGTCAAAATATGGAAATATCATTCCTACTGTTCTCATTGTATTTTGTAGAGGTGCTCATATTGGACCAAATTAAAGAATTTTTAAGATGAAGTGAAAGTATCCACTGAATAGCACTCGCATCATTTTAAAAATATATATACCGTATTGGGAATGTTAGAGTTGGGTTGATCACTGCAAACTGGTCATGGGACCGTCTCCAGACCAGCGAAAAGGTCATCCGGTGTTTAGAACACCTCAGTCTGGTTAGAAAGCGTTGATGTTTGATTTCAGCAGTTCCCAACTATTTGTATCAATCAGTAGTATATACCGTTTGACTAATCTGCTTGCTTTCTTAACTGTTGTCGCCTGCGGCATCAAGCATGTCACATGCTGTGACCTGAGTACTCTGGGTTTCCATAGAAAACCGGGCTAAATTTTCACCTCGGACTATTTGGCATGCAGATGAGAAGCTCTATATTATTACTGAAGGATTGGAGCGTGGAAGGCAGCTTCACCTGTAAAATACGAAAGAACACACATAGACAAATCAACTGACACGGCGCACTGACATACAAAAGGAAGAGCACAAAGACTGACTTCAACTGGTTATTATGCATCGCATCGTCAACGTAGAAGTGATAAGGAACCTGAAGTTTTGTTTCTTGTTCGTTGGGAATTCAAATTTCAAGCAGTAATCCAAGTCTCAAGGGAAGGTACGTGTATTATTTCATTTCATTCGTCCTGCAATATATTCCAGGTGATTACACTTCAGTCTCAGTCTATAAGATTTCTTCCATCACTACTACTTATTCTAAATTATTTAAACAGAAATGTAGGAAAAACTTTGTTGTCTAGTGTGAATATGTGCTGTGGACATGAACATTATTGTAGTTTGGTATGTGTGAAGTGTATAGTTTTCTCAAACTCGTGTGTACACTTACCAACACTGGTGTATATAAGTACCCACGTTGTTTTATTGCTTGTAACCGTTGTCGCGTGGTGGTCGCGTTCGTACGTTAGGGTTTTCATCTGTATGTCTCTCAGTGTTTGTGACATTACACAAATTCTGCACGAAGTCCATATTTTGTAGAACCTTCTTGTTTTCTCACTACTCACAACTTGTCACATGATCTAGTCCACCAGAATCATGAATAGCTTCGTTTGTAAAGATTATTCCATGGGTCTAGGATCACTAACTTTCTCACGGTTTCTCCTGCATTCTTTGGGGTTTGATAATGCCTTTATTTAAATATAGTGCGTAATTGATTATATCTATTTTGGTGTAGTTGAGTTGGATGGTTTATTTGCGAAGCTTCCATTGCCCTACTAAGCAACATCTTCAGCGCATACTTCAATTTGAAGTGAGCTTTTAGATTTCTCCATGAGTTTATAGGTCATCTCCCCTGGTGACTTTGAGGAGGATTGTTTGTTTTTGTGGATTTTCGCATCCTCTAGTTACTTGTATTGGTACTGATTGTTTCCGTGACCTGAAGCTTTACCCTTTGTGTGTGAGATTTCCTTCTTATCGGTTGGTAAATTTTGTCTATCTCGATGAGTCTATTGACTGACGATTCACTGGAATACCAGGCTTCTAAAAGTTCTCAAGAATTCTGGGTTTTTCCTCTGTCCGATATCCGACTGAGACAACGTTCATTTATTAGACAGATTTCACACAGTATTTTGGTACAACTATAGAATTTTCAGCATGTGATATTGGTAGTCCAAATTAAGCAGGCTGACCACTGCTGTCAGGTGTGCGTCGACCGGCGATTGGGTCCAGGACCATGTGCTTGGTTGGCGAGCGTCCTAACTGCGTCACCAATACACTAGTAAGAGTAGTAATTTACACACAGTACTAAGAGCTGGGTCGTCATATCATCGTCATCCATAAGGCTATAACACTCTAAACTTTATGTACAAATGGACGTATAGTCGTATTCCATTACATGAACGGCGAATTACTATATCAAATGTCCACATCCCTACTGTTTACTACGTAGGTAGGTAGTTGCATTGTATCAGTTAAACATATATTCAAATGAACGCTTTGTAGACGAGTCTCTCATCTTCATTAGAGATAAAAGGTCAGTTCTAGAAATATTTTTTTATTTTTGTGTATTCATTTTTATATTAAATGAAAAATTTCATTTCATTTTTATATCCTTATTCCCTTCATCTTTGTTGCTTAATTAAGGAAGTAGCAAATGAAGCTTGGCAATACTACAAGTCACGAAATGACTCGATCATTGTAGATCTATTCCACGGACAACTGAAGTCTACTGTAATTTGTCCTACTTGTCAAAGAAAGTCGGTCACATTTGATCCATTTGCATCATTAATTCTGCCTATACAAGAAATATGCAGATATACAGTACGTGTTTATATCTGGCCATGGGTATCTAACAAACGTCAACTCACTTTAGTAGAACTGACAGTTCCGACTATACCTTGTGCTCAGAATATAACAGAAGCTCTTGAACAAGAACGTCCACTACATCCAGGCTGTCAGGTAAAATGTTTACAGTATCTTAATTGTACCTTTCAGTTTTCCACTCTTTTTTAAACGGAAAACTAGTTGTTTTGGATTCAAACAGTACTCTGTTCTTCTATTCAGACATTTAAGGGGTTCTTATGTTTCGTATCCTACTGAGGGACTCCAGTGTGTTGTCGTCTAGTAGGTGAAATTGGTCTAATCTTGAATGATAGTAACTCACTCTGCAACTATACTCTAGTGTAGTGAATGGCAATTTTGTTGCCAAAGGAAGACATTTTCTGATGTAATAACAATTCATTTCACCTTCACAGCGAGTGAATACATTTTTCGTCACTATCAGCTGGCTGTTAGTTTTAAAAATTCATCAAAGGATCGCGATTACCTCATCAGGACATAACTGCAGCATTAGCAGCTGTTTAATTTCTGAATTTTGTTTGTCAGAAAAAACTAAGTGGAGCATAAGTGGTAGCCTATCGCTCTAAAATAACCACTTTTCTGTAAAAATAATAACAGCGATTCCAAATGTAGGCGGTTCGTAAAAAATGTACAGAAAAGCTAATAACTTTTATTTGGTTTTACAGAGTAAATTAGTAAGCGAAAATTTCCTCCTGAATTACATCTGACAGAATAACAAGTAAGTGTGAGTGTTAGTTAGAGGTAAACAGTTTGAGCTGATAAAGTGGTTATATGTATATATAATGCCATGCAGTCATTTACACTTTTAAGCATTCAACATTGAATCATACCATTGTAACTGATTAAGAATACCCAATAAAATTTCCAAAAGAATGGATACTGAACAAAGAGTACTCTTTTCGATAAATTCATCATCAGGTTCTACGGTTATATATACATTATAGTGAATGAATGAATTAGTGTTATGAACAACATTAGTGTTGTTTAAATAACATCGAATCAATAATATTGATAGATTACAGCTCAATAACATCAACATAAAATAAGATGAATGTCAGAAGAATTAGGAAAGATAATATTACAGATTCATGAATTTATAGTTTCTACTGAAGGCCAGGATAGTAGCAGGGGGTGAACTTGTTTATTTTGAACACAGAGCACTGGTTGTTTGAGGCGAATTGCAATAGCCTCTGCTGTTTGAAGTATTTGGTGCTTCGATGATTTTGGCAATTTATTAGGCACCCGTTAGATTATAGAGAGGGATTCTTCCACGCTGGCTTTGTGGCCGGTTTGCAGCAGATGGTCCAGTATCGAACTGTTAATGGTCTTACCTACACCTTTACTTAGCCATAGTGGAATATGTTCTCGAGCACGAAAAATCAAGTTCCTAGAGCAACGGCCAATACCATTGTGTCTGAGATATGTTCATATTTCTTGACCATTCAGACTAGGCATAGTTTGAACCTGTGAACATCTAACAAGAGGTCGAAAATGGAAGTAGCAGATGCGCATGAGTTTAAAATTATGAACAGTAACTGAGTTTGCCGATGGTTGATATAATATACGCATCAGTAGTAATCTGTAGTTAAAGTTGGTAACTGTTGTGCGCATACAAGCCAATCAAAAATTCATTTCCATTGTGTTATGGCGACTTGAACTGATTCATTTTTATGCTAAGTTCTATACAGATAATTCATTTAAGTTCAAAAGAGCTAAGTTGAATTAGTGTTTGTTCGGGATATTCACTTAATTTAAATTCCAACAACCAGTCTCAACAATATGTAATAGACGAATTCTTAAGGTGGCATAGCGGTTAGGACTCTCGCCGACCATGCATATGGTCCGGGGTTTAACCCCCGGCTGACGCACTCCCCTACCTCGGTAAGCCAGAAATAATGCTGGCATCGGGCTACCAACCCTATCCTGTAAAACAAACACTGCTAAAGAAACTTCAAGCCACTAGCTTGAAGCCCTATGTTTCACTGGGGAATGTGAAGGAAAGAAAAAAAGATCAGTTGGTATGCGGTAGATGACTTTGAAAGACACCTGGTTTAACATCAATCTTGTATTCTGTATTTCTCATAGTATACATGAGTATTCAACTCAGGAGTCCTGCTTTAAATCTACAGTCAAATTAATATGAATTCCTATAAAATTCATGATCTAAAAGAGAATTATTTTAATATAGAAAAAATTCCCATTTAGACATTAAGAAAACAGAAAGATTGAGCGAAGAAATATTTACATTTTTAAAATATCTCACACTGCAGTTAAAATAAGAAAAGATTAATGAAACTGTTTTCTATATAAAACTGAAGTTAAGGATATCAGACTTATAAAGAATGGAATCCTATATATATATATATATAGGGTTCATAGGTGAATTTGTAAACTTCCTTGTAGTTTCTTTTGAAGTAAACCTTGTTATTGTAAATCTTTGGTATTCAATTTTCCCGACAAAAGTTGCTTTACCGGTTTCTTCCAGCAGGACAGAAATTTTCTCTAACTTGACTTGTTCTGATCAGTGATTTCATTGTCATAAGATAACACTAAAACGCATAACTTTTAGGTAGGAATGTATTTAGACAGCTTAACAGAGAACTTGATTTGTTAACGAAAACTAATCCAGTAAGTTTATTCTATTTTCCCGCTAATAATTAATGTTATTGAACCCATTTCCTTCGTAATACTTCACCTTTTTATTTTTCAAGTACTACATACCAAACAAATCTTTTGATCGTTCAAGATATTCGCCTTCATTCGCCTACGAGTTGACTGAAGGCTTTCCCATACCTGTCCACTGGATAAATGATAGGTAAGTGAAGTTTTAGGATGAGTGTCCTCCAAAAAGCATTCTGCTTTGATGTGTGGTGTATGAAAAGCTGTTATACTGTGTGAAATACTAATGAGTGATTATTCCTCGGTCTCTAGAACCTCTGTGTAAAAAGGTTTAAATAAATTTGTGTAATAAGGTGGTATGATGATAAAAAAAATCATCTGATGATACCTTAATTATCTATCCTCTCCTCAATGTGTGTGTGTGTGTGTGATAATGTTATATTATGAATTGCTGTTTGCTATTGGTTAGTGTGAAATTTCTTTATCAGCATCATTTTTTAAACTAGTAGTACCTACACTTTTCAAATGTTACACATTTAATTCTATGAGTGTGTGTGTGTGAGCGACTTAAAAATAAGCGACATGACATTTTGAGGTGAACTGTGTAGGCGGAATTTGGTTGTCGTGAAAACCTTCACTCCCTTTCTCATTAGTAACCGAGTGTCTTCTTTATGGAGCGTATTAGAAAATAACTAATACCAACTATATTGGTGTGCACGAGTATACGTACTCATACTGAGTTAAAAATTATCATCCAAATAATAATTATTATTCCTTTGTGTTTGGACTTGAACATAGGGCTTCAACACCACATCTCCTCCTTTTTCTATTTTATGTTGTTCTCTTCCTCTGGCTGACCCCTCGATTGCCCATAACCCCTCATCTCCTCCTCCTGCCCAACACACGACCTCCTCCATGTTTCCCTCGCACCGACGATCCACTCGTCGCTCCCCATTCCACTATTAGGACTCAACTACAGCGATGGCCTGCAATGCACGCGATGTCATGCTACCCGATCCATCTCCTTTTTCTCCTACATATTTGTTAAGCAATTGCCTCTCGTCTGTTGGTTCCCTCCCGACCAGAGTTCCTTGTTGTTAATTGATTCTGGCCAACCGGTCGGCCAGCAAAGTGAGTAGCTGTTGATAAAAGTCTTCAGTGGCTTGTTGAAAGTCGTTTCCGTTGACACGCAGTGCAAGTTTGCGACCTGTAGAGAAGGGCTGACTTGACATTTGTGTTGAACAGAATCAGAATTTTGCTGTTTATGCTGTCTGAGTGAGCGTAGAAGATATCTACACTGGTTTCAGGTTGATGAAAGCGTATCTTGCCATTCCGATTCTGGCTTTCTGACTTTGACATCTTCATCCGATCTGCTGACCTGTGGTTGGGACCGTGCTTCCTAGCCAGATGAGTGACGGCAGGGAGTAACCTCTGTCAGATCTCTCGCGTTGATGGTGATTCTTGCTGGTTGTTGTTGCTGTTGGTTGGTTGGTTATCTTCATCACCTCCGTTTTCTCTATGTTCACCTGTAGTCCTGTCTTCTCTGCTTCTTCAGTATCATCCAAAAGTAACTATTTATTGGAAAGTATGTCTAAAAATGCTAGGCATTCACTTGTTGAGACGTCTGAATCTCGCTTTGATTGGTTTTACTTGACCTCAATATTCAGTCATTGTTGATATATAGGCCTTTTAATATGGGTGGTGGATTAAGGTTTGTTGTATGGAACACCGTTAAAGGAAATACATGTATATATTAGTTGAGTAATTACAAAATTAAAGCATTAATGTTTATCTTGTCTGTGGTAAAATGCACAAAAGTTATCAAGATGATAGTAGAATTTCAGTGAGTACGATGATGGTTAAATTGTAGAATGCTCATCAACCACGCAAGTGGTCCGGATTCTATTCCTGACCAACGCACTCGTAAACCTCGTCTAACGGGTATTAAGTCAGAAAAAGAGGGAAGGTTAGGCTTAGGATTAACAGTTCCACCTCTTGAACAAAAAAGGAACAGCTATTAGCGCTTCTAACACACAACATATCACTTTCCACAGTTTCTCATTCTTTCTGTAGATTGATAGGCCTATGGATTTTCATTGTGTGAAGTGTCTGTAAATACTGTGTAAACTTTTAATTAAGACGTATACCTGAAGCTTTTGAATTGAATTTTGCTTTACTGAGTGTATATTAAATCATTAACAGATGTTCCATACTAAGTTAAACTTTTTATTATCAAAGAGATCGTGTATTGCTGTACAAATGAAGTTAATTTATTTTAAAAAGATAATATTTTTCTGTTGATATTTTCACACGAATAATTTTATTATTTATTTATGATAAAGGAACATTCGTTATTTCATCTTATTTCAGCATTGGACAAGGTGTCAACTTAACATTCTACATTAGTGTACCAATCAATGATAATATTACAGGAATGACAATTACTGTTTCCGAAGATTTACTCATCAAATATATAGTTGACCGTCTAAATGCTATTGGTGTAGACTGTAAGAAAACTGAATATTCACCTGGTGAATTAACACAGCTGGATGATCGAAATTCTGGAGATCCAGGTGGTGGTGCTTCAGGCTCTTTGACCAGCATTCATCACAATTCCCAGTTAAATCCGACATCTACAAAATCATTTAATCCCTGTGAAGAGTCAGAGGAAATCAGCGAACGTGTTCTAGATAATCTGTCTACATGCCTTAAAGGACGTTTATGTCTAAAAGATTCTCGTGGACATGATTGGCTATCTGAGTCAGACAACGGTTTAATATCCCTTCCATGTAAGTATATTTTTACTTGTTAACAGGAAGTCAGTACTATGAATAAGTTCCCGTCGTTCATAGTTATGTATGTTGCTTAAAGTAATACAAACTTCATAAAAATGTTGTTAATCGATATTTATTAAGTAACCGCAGTATATGTTTTGTCACAAACTGACGTCAAGTTAGTGTGACATTGGAAACAAAGCAGGACTGGATACAGTCATAGCTGAGAACCACTTAAATTATCAACCGAGCACGTTAATTACCACTTCAAATCAATCAATTACCTACAAATATCAATGGACAACAGACCACCTTATTCCATAAACTGATATTTTATAGTGAAACCATGCTCAAGTTGTTTCTAACAGAAAACCAAGTCCAAACAAATCATCCGCGGTGTGAATTTTTTTTTCACCATCAACATTGCCAGGTGTATTGATGTAAGGATGTTATTGTGTTTAAAAACGGATCACGTGACCTCAGAGATTAGCCAATCGTAGCTATGCTTTAGATTAACTGTAACACATGACTCTTTTTCGTGATAAACATTGCTGACATTAACTACAGTGTAACAGTTATCTGAGGATAATTTGCTTTAATCGTTAGTTTGAATACTCTGCACAAAAAATTGCATGTATACATCCCCTTTAGCCAGCAATTAATTACTAATTTCATCTACTGGTCAAATTAGATTTGTATTGTTATTTTTAGAATTTATGAAACAGCAATCTTTGACATATTTCTTCCTTTTTTTGTAGGTTCTGATAATTATTACAGTATCATAATGAACTTGCAAGGTCTAGAAATACGACAACAACTCAATGATATTCGAAATCGTACACAGCACCATCCTATTACTCGAGTAAACCAAACATTGAAACTTTCAGATTGCTTTGAACGCTTTACTGATGTAGAACAGTTGGGCTCTAGAGATTTATGGTATTGTAATCGTTGCAAAGCTGAGAAGCCTGCTACGAAGAAATTTGATCTGTGGAAGCTTCCAGATGTTTTAGTGGTGCAATTGAAACGTTTCCGATCCCACTTGCGATTTCATGATAAAATTGATACGTTGTTGGAGTTTCCACTAACGTAAGTAGACTTTTTCGTGTCATTTTTCAATCCACATTCTTGATATATTTCTGTGAATAGTCAGTAGTGCTACAGACTATAAGAAGCTTAATAACACGTTTGACTTAAATTATTCAGATGATAAAATTAATTCTAGCTGAAAAATCAGGGGTATATCTGTTTTCATGTTTTCAGATAACTTTGGTATAATTTTTTTTAATGATAATAATAATCTGCTTTATTCCAAAAACAGTACTCATAATAAAGAATGGAATTCTCAGCATTTTTCACAATATTGCGTCTCATTTACTCAATGTATGCAATTCAGCCCAGGAATTCGTCCACGTTTACAGTAGGAATAAAGTCAAAAGTGTGCAAATTATAAAATGCGAATAATAACTCTAATAATAATAACAACAGTGAGTTCGTTTCAAATAGTATTAACGATAGAGAACGGAAATTTTAGCATGTTATAGAGTATTGAATCTAATGTTCTCTTGATATAGCATGGTGAAGGAAAAAACAAGAAAAAACAGTTATCACAGATCTTAGATGATGTTTACACTTATGAGAAAATAAAAATGTGAGAGGATTGTAAATATAAGAACAATAAAAACAGTCAAGCTTGGTGGGATAAGGACGAAGAAAATTGTTTGTTTACTGGTGGAAAGAAGGTTAGTTAGTTCGTCCCTGACACTATTTTCACCACATAAAATACGTGCCGCCAAATATGGTATCGTGGAATTTTTGGGCCTGGATGTAAGCGCATAAATCCGTGAAATAACTTCTTGTTTTACCTGAGGAGACAAGGTGAAAGCCGCGGGTAAAGTGAATATTTACAGTCTGACAAAATCCCTATAGCAAATTTGTTGCGTGAGATCAAGTGCCTATCAATGGCGATGTCAACTATATGGTCCAAAGGGTAACTACCACTCGCCCTACTGACAGTCTCTAGAGTCCTACACAGTTTGACATAGTCCTTTTTGAAGCAACGCAAGAAATAATAAAGGTGAACAGAAGAAAAGAACAGGTGAAATGCATGAATTGACAAACTGTAAGAGGAGGCGTTGAGATATACCCGAGTGCCTTAACTTCTTAATGTAAAAAGTCAGACAAAATTTTCTTTTAAAAATCGCTAAGATGTTGGAATACCAGGATAGATGATAAGAAAGAATTAATCTGAGGTACTTAACTTCAGACTTGATTTCTACATTAATATTATCGATTTCGCCGTAGTCATAGGAACTAAAACTTTCTTTTACATCGGGAACTGAAATCAACAGTTTGACATTTACAAGGATTTAGTTTAAGGCCATTAGGCGAAGACCATTTACTGACTCCTGATAGAAAGCTGCTCATCTTAGCACAGTCTAGCTGGAAGTTAACAGACATTGAAATATTTAGATCGTCCGTATACTTGACAAGATTCATTTCATCATCAGAGTGAGGCAAGTTATGAAAGAAGGAAGAAAAGAGAAAAGGAGTAAGGACAGTTTCTTGAGGGACACCAGCCTCAGTAAGCAATGAAGTGGACGACTCCCCCTGACATACAGTGTACTGCTTTCCTCCTGAGAAATAAGAATACTGCCAGTTGACAACCCAAAAGTCAGTTTGAGTTTCAGCAGGCTTGTTTAATAAAATATCCCTAGTTACTGAGTCGAAAGCAGATGTGTAATCTAGGAAGGCGCAGCGAACAGATTTAGCCCCCTTGTCTAAACTGGAAATGATGTTATCATGTGAAACTGCGGCTGCATCTGAAGTATTTTCACTATGTTTGTAAGCAAATTGTTTGGAATAGATAAGGGCTTTAAGTGAAGGTTCAACATTAAGCAAGAACAACTTTTCCATAGTTTTAGCAATAGTTCTAATTTTAACAGATGTTCCAGTAGATGATTTAGGTATTGGCACAATTTTAATGTCCTTCCAAATGGCTGGCACGACATTTCTGGTAAAAGATTCATTAAATATGTCCATGAGAGGACAATGCAGGATGTCTTCACATTTTTTGGGAATAACGTTATGCAAACCATCTCGTCCTAGACTACGAGAAGGATTCAGAGACTAGAGACAATTTAGAAGGTCGTTTGTACTGACGCCAGGGAAGCAGCTTTCATTAACACTTGTGACACTAGAAAGCATGCCATTTTTGGGAGTATAAATTAACGACTTGTTAAACAATAAGCGTTAGTTTATACTGCCCGGCGCTGTCCAAACCTCATTGTGTAGGGATGTATTTGAACCTCTAGCTTTCTGGTTGTATCCTCACTAATCTTCATCGAATTATTCTCTCTCCTGTAAATCTGTGTTTCTTGTAGTTTCATTGCATTTCTTCTCTCCACTTTTTTATACTTTTTTCCGATGGGCTGCAACTTAAAATAAATAAAATTTGTGTGCATAGTTCTTGGTTTGTGTTATGTACTCGTCGCTAAATTATTGTTATGGACTGGTCGAGAATTTAATAGTCCTGACGCAAGAAGGCGGAAATCAGAAGACCACTAGGTTTGCGATGATACTTCTATTTGCCAAAACACCAGGAGAAGCAATAAGTGGTATCACACCAAAGGAGTCACACAAGATTGTGAGAGCGAAATATATATGAATGTCCAGACAAGTGTGTGAACAAATCAATAGACAGTCTTAACATGAATGGCTAATTATAATGAAGTATCGATCCATATATACATAGCGAAATATAGCAGACATGTCAACAACAACCATATATGGATATATGTCACCAAGCAACGGACTATCAACAAACACTCATATTATATATAATATAAGGGGAATATACATTGTTAAAGGAGACAGGTTCATACAAGTGAAAATGGTCACAGACTAAGAGAGCAATCAGAGAGACCAACATACACACACACACATAAATATATATATGTGGATACATATCAGTTTGGTAAGTCAGTTAGTCATATAAGTGTCAAGTTGCCAGAATTCCTCTCAAATTTTCATTTTTCTGGGTGTTCGATGTTTTCATGTCTTTTGCATCAAGTTTATGCTTGCAGCGACCTATAATCATTGATAGAGAAGTAGATATCGCTGGTCGATGCCAACTAGGGAGTAAAAGGCACTCGCTTGATCCTCCGTATCGCTTATCTCAATCATCGAGATTCGCTCTTTGTTATATTTAAGTACACTTGTAGTTTCTCCAACCTTCCCTACTTTTTACTTGGAATACCGTATGGCTTCAAAAGATATCACCGATGTTTGATCAGAAATCACTGATATGTTTAAGCCCAGTTCCTCGGAACATATCTTTCAATTAGCAGGCTGAGACATGTTTGTCATATTATCCAAGGCCCACGACGAAGTAACTAAGGCGGGACTCGAACCTGTAACCCAACGGCTAAAAATCCGGTTCTTAAGACATTGAGCCTCATCTGTGCAAAATCACTGGCAGTCTGTAGCTTTATATTCAGTATTAGGGACTGTTAAGCATAATAATACAATCTTCTGAGGCTGATTTCTTTGTTGACAGTGAGTCTACTTTGCTTAATAAGTACCAATGTTGTATTGTTTTGGTCTAGTTAGCACATAAATTTTTCACACTGCCATTTTTCATGTCTGTGTATGTTTTATGTAATTCTATTTCAATGGTTTGTATACACTGCTTTTTTAAATGGTATTACGCAAATGGTGTCATTCTTGACATTTCATATTAGAACTCTAAGTAAATAATGTCCTGAAGTGACTTGAAAATAGTAATAATGATAGTTACTATTATTACTTCTTGATCTTCATCGTCATACTCTGTCTGACTCTGGTCCTGAATTACAGAAGCTACTATTTGTCATCAATATTTGAATTTATGATTTTGTGTGAGCAGAACATTTGGGTTGTTCTTAACACAGTTTTCATAGTTTCACCATTGTTTGCTTAAGGATCCTCCTTTTTTAATATTCATCTCTCGCTAATTATAATTTTCCCTTTTCTCCTCTTCCTCCCCTCGCCAATGAACACTTTTAATAGGGGATTGGATTTGACGTCACAAGTACTCGAGAAACAGTCTAACGATAAATTCATATATGACTTAGTAGCTGTGAGCAATCATATGGGATATTTGGGTGGTGGTCATTACACAGCGTTCGCTTTAAATGCTCATGTCAATCGATGGTACTACTTTGATGATTCTTCTACACGGGAAGTTGATCCATCTAAAATTGTAGTAAGTTATAGTTTTTTTCTTTTTGTTTGCTAGTCACAGCTAACATATTGTTAGCTGACTTAATTGTTCAGATGTCTCGTTATTCTGATTATTATTATTTTCTCCTGTAACACGTGGATGTACTACTTTCCAACCTGTATCCTAAAACATTTTAACTTTTGCAACAGATTTTTGCAGTGACCAACAGAATGATGCATTTTGTAGTGATATAAAATGTTCCACAATAAAAGTCTACGGTGATATCATATCACAGTGGCTAGGTAGATCTTATTCACTCACCACATGGGTTATTTATTTACTTAAACAAAATAACTTGATACAATATGGCACCAAGAAGACGTGCCACACAATAATAAAACAACATTGGAGATTAAAAGTAAAAATATAGGTAGAGAATTGATAAAGTACTTCATCTGTGAGGAAAGCAATCATATATAACAAGTTCAAACAGCAGTCGTCAATTATCATCGGAAAAGAAGGGAATTGCAGCACGTTCGCCATTCATTGAGACTCTTGGCCATATCCGATAACCTTTCCAACACAAGAGTCCTTCATCCCACGACGCCATGTCATGGCTGACTACCTCTCCGCTTTCTTCATCCGTCCCAGGGCTAGTGAACAGAGTTTTTTACGGAAGCCTGGGGAGTCCAGTCGAGTAATGCAGCTTGGGCTCTAACACTTAGTGTGACACCGACACCAGTCACGCCGGATGCCGACGCCACAGGGTTCTCGGATAAGCGCAGGTGGTACATACTATTCAAACTTTCAGCTGGAGAAGATAGTTGAAGCACTTCAATGCGGGTCTCCGAAATGCAGTAGACATCGATAGCTAGGCTTCACAATGCTCTTGCCAAACCTGTCTGTTATCCGATTTGCATCAGCGTCCGAACATTTTAGGTGGACACCTCGAATGTAGGATACTTGTGTTAGATGTTGCAATGGGGACCACCATTTTGAAGGTTGTTGACTGATATTTCGAAACAGCACAGATGGTTTGAGAATTGGGACAAAGGTGGAGGAGTGACGGAAATGAAGACGCCAAGGATAACAAGAGTAAAGCACAAAAGCTTTTGTATAAAAATAAGATCAAAAAGAAATGCATCACTTGAAATATCATTAGTGCTCGAGAGTATTGTAGAGAGCGTGCGATTAATTTCTCTGATAGTTCTCTGTTTCATTTCATTGATTTTGTGAGGGCTGAGATACTGCCTGGGCGTTCAGACCAAAGCAGGAGGTTCTAAAGGACCATACCCCTAGCCTTTAACTTGGAGTGTAATCTGAGAGACAGCGGAGCAGCTTCAGGAGCTCCGTCCCCATGGTTGCCAGTGTCCAATACAGGTTCATACGCCGTCTGATCCGATTTGGTTCTGGAGCCCATAGTAACTACTTTTAGTTTAACCACCATCTGAACGACCTTCCTGGGATGGTAGGAACATGAGTCCCAGCCAGTGTAGGTTGTTGGGTCAAAGCGGTATTCAAGCCCAACCACCACGAGATGGCAGCAGTTGTCGGGCGAGCGAATGGAACGTGAAACCTGGTCAACAACTTGTGTAAATGTACAATAATTACTCAGAATTCCACAATGAACGATTTCACCACATCACGCTATTTGCAATGTTATCTAAAATCACTTAGATATTTTTGTTATTAGAAGGCGATAATTCTCAAAATAAATTCAAGAATACTTTTCATTTGACAGAAATAAGTCTTATATAGATACTGGATATTAATTGTCATTTTTCCAATAAACTTATATGGAACTAGTCATTAAATGTTCATAATATTTGACGATGCATTCATCTAGGTGGCTGATCGACACTAACTGCTGGTATAATCATAGACATTGCATCGTATTGATACATAGCTTGTTTAAATAATCTTGGCAAGTAGAGTAAAACAGTTCTTCAAGAATACACCATAGTATTAACGGTAGCTTAAATCAAATATTGTTGATAATCTATGTGTTGAGACCGAAGTGAAGGTTTCACCTCATTACTTGCAGTGTTAATGTACGGCAATTTCAGCAGCTAATATTGTAATAAGATGACATTTTTGGATAACAGTCGTTTTTTAGTTTTATTGAATTTTATTGGAATATTATTATGGTAACTCTAAACGAAACCAACTAATGAACGGATTAATGACCTTGAGCAACTAGTCAAATGACTCCGTAGTATTTAAAGGCAATTATGGGCGCTGTACACGAATTACGTAGCAAACTTCTTTTAAATCTAATATGTAAGTACTACTTAGGCAACAGGCTCATTGGAAGGAAGAAAACGTGTAGGCAAGTATCATCTCTGGACTACATTCACAATCTGGTAAGTGATACGGACAATTTTGTTAATCCTTTCGATGGGACTCACACAAGTTCTTTCGAAAGTTTCTAGAATCACTTTAAAAGAAGGATCAGAGAGGCGAATGAATCAAGAAACACAATGATTTGCAATTACCTCGACGAATGTATACACAAAAATTGGCTTAACCTAACTATGAGGAATCCTATGAAAAATTGGGAGGTGTCCTTGAAACATATATAAGGACCTTATTCCATGTAACTACTTTTTATATTGCTTTACTTTTGTTTAAACTTTTTAAATTACGCACCTCTACTGCAAACGTATCTGATTGGCCCATGAAGATTTGTCAAGGTCTTTATTAAGTAGTTTCGTTTCGGGCCGCTTTAGTCTAGTGCCACCGTTATTATTATTATTATTTTCATTACTATTATTAGAGTCCAAGCAAGTGAATAATTCTTACAAGTCCGTACTTGTTGCGCTTGGTTAAATGCAAGATTACAGCTGTGGAAAAAAACAGTATTTTGTAAATCCTTAAATTTCTGTCGGACTCGTCAGTTGAATACCCTCTTCTCCATGTTTTCGCACCTTAATGGTGCAACCCAATTGTTCAGTCCATTATATAAACATGTGTACTACACCAAGAAGCTCTGACGATTAGTCATGTTTACATCAGAACTGTTATATGTCTAGTTCCAAAGTACTTAAAAAGATGTCAGCAAGTTCGAGGGTATTGTATTCTAGAAACTAGTCTAATTTCTACTATGACAAACGTTGTTAGTCATGTAAATTTTTTACAATCTCTCACTGAATCCTTCTACTTTATAGACTAATGCAGCTTACGTGTTGGTGTATGTTCGCCGTCGAGTTGGTCATATGTTGTTGATGTGCAGTGAGAACAAAAGTAATGACCAAGAACAAGAAGACTCCTCATCTGAAACAGATGAAAATAGTCTTTCAAATAGTAGTCTGTCTCCAGATCAATATCCAACTTCTAAAGCTTATATTCATGACAATCGAGCGAGAAATGTTAATTCATCCATAAATCTGCAAGATCAAGATTTGATGGAGATTGAGTGAATAAAATGCCTTCGCGTCTTCTTACAGTTCAACAACTCCCCTGACCTAATTATATTCGTCATGCCAATTCGCTTCGAAAGAAACTGTAGTCGATATCATTCTGATTATAATGTTTATTTAATGGTCCTTTTATTCGATAAATCAAGCTCTTTCGAATTTTACAGTTATGTGACAAACCTTCAAACATAATGTTCTTATGGTTAATGTGGTCTAATTTCGCTCTCCTTATTACCTTATAATTCTCCTAGCTATGTTTGATTATTTATTTTTGGTCACAAATACGGGTTTTCTTTGTGATTCGCTTCTCGTCCCACTAGATGTATATTCACTTCGTAATAAATATATGAATGGATGAAATTTATTTTCGCATTGAGTTTACACCGTGACTAGGTTAACTTTGACAGTAATGTTTATTCATTATAGCCATAAAAATAAGTGAGCACGCAGCATAGTTTGGTCAAAACAACTGCTGTACATGTTTCACAGTTATTCTAAACTACGATACAACAATTGAAGTGGTAGGGTAGCAGCTATCTTTGATTCAGAGTCACAGATTCTAATGCCCGAACTACATCCAGTGCATATTTCAAACAAATGCTTCATTAACCTTACTACAACTGATTAGTTCGAATCAGCTGAAAGATTGTCATCTGTCATATGAATACTATGAACAGTTGGACAGAACCACTTAGCTGATTCCCGCGTATATGTACATATAGCCCATGTACAACCAGAAACTTATTGGGGGTTGGGAGTAAGGTGTCGTCAGTTTCAATTCACGCTGATACGACCAGGTCCATTATTTTCAAACTATTCTCTGAAGATAGATAAGTGTTTCCAGTAGAGACCTTATCTAGTGATAAGATACTCTTTCGTAGCACATGTTTGAAACTCATTTATAGGTAACAGTACATGCGAACTACAAAGTTTATGTGATTATTCGCAGATTATGGGTAGACATTTTCCTGCCTCATTCACTTACACAAAAATTTCTTGATACGACCTGAACATTCCTCGGGGATTCGTTACTCACATTAATTTTTTCCTGTACTGTTTTTAAACTATACATATTCCGCTCTGATCATGCTCCTGAGGTCATCCGTATTCGATCAACTATCAAAACTATTCAGCTAGTACCATTTTGACCAGATAATGGTTTCAGATAGCCGACTATGGTTTCTGGGTTAACTGATCAACGTTCACAGTTCCTTGCAGTCGTTCACTCCTTAACGCGGGAATTCAGCAAGTGCGTATCTGTACATATGTCGAGCCCAGAGGTAAGTAAACCGTCTGAGTTGCTTAAAGCAACCCTCCTAAAGAGAAACGGCCCCACAGACTGACAGCATCTTGACGAATTATTTCGCAACGCGGAGTTAGTTGAACATGCTAACAAGAATGAGGGGAGTTATTGGCCAACGTCAGTTCGATGAGGGACTTCTCAGAGAACTGTTCTTATCTAAATTACCACAGGCTGTGACACTTCAAGATGCCATTATAGACGGCTTAGCTGCTTCTGTAGATAAAATTCTAGAAAATAACAAAACAGCCAGTTACTGAAATATGCCTACTGGCTGAACAGAATTCGAGAAGGGACAATGCAGTGGTAGAGTTATGCAACTCCACCCAGCAACTACTTATGTCACACAATCCTTGTGCTTCCTCCTATCGTTGTCCCAATTCCCTTCAATGGTGAAACCCACGTAGTCGGTCAAAATCCAAGCCACGTTCATTTAATAACCGTAACTGGTGTTGCAATCAAAATACCTATGGTCAGGAAGAGACATATTGCCGAAAACCTTGAAATTTCGGTAATGTCACACAGACTATGGGGAACTATCCTGACAGCACTCGTCAACGGCAATTGTTGCGCTAGTCGCCTACTTTAATTCGTGACGTGGTCAGCCAGGCCTGACACCCAGTCGACACAGGTGCCGAAGTCAGTGTCCTTCTTGCCACAGCAGCAGGTTGAAAAAAGGAACCTACCTTCAATTCGCAGGCTGCGAATGGTAAACCGATTGCAACTTTTGGTAGGAAATGCATCTGTGTGAACGAAGCTTCACGCAAACCTATTCCGTGGATTTTCCTTCTCGCTGACGTTACAATGCCCATCATTGGCACGGACCTACCTAATCATCATGATATACTCGTAGACGTCCGCCGAAAACGATTGATAGGCGGTATTACTAGACTGTCTATTAAAGCATCACCTGTGAAGGTCATAGCTTGTCACTCGTTAAGAAGAAGGCAATCCTTGATTCAATTCTCCATCCCATTGTTGATGAGCACCTGGAACTCAATTGCCCGTCTAACGATCTACCGTGCATAACCAGCAATGTTATGCACCACATCATAGCCTCAGGACAACCCGTGACATCTAAAGCACGATGACTTGCTCGGAACAAACAACGGCTCGCTAGAAATGAATTCGACCATATGCTCACCATTGGGTCATCGAATAAACCATGGGCAACCCCGCTGCATGTGGTACCGAAAAAAGAACAACGATTGGTGACCCACTGGTTATTACCGACAAGTAAACGCCAGAACAACCCGGGATTGCTAATTATCGCCTCACATACACTACTTGACGGTAACATTAACTGCTGCAACTGTATTCTCGAAAATAGACTTGGTTAAAGCGTCTAACCAAACCCTGATGGCACCAGATAACATTCCGAAAACGGCAATCATTATACCTTTCGGACTTTTTAATTTCTATGTATGCTATTCGGTCTCCGGAATGCAACACAAACATTCCAACGCTTCATTGACGAAGTATTTCGCGGTCTGGACTTTGAACATTCATACTTAGACTGCCTTATTGCCAGTCCAGACAAGGAAACTCACTTCAGACACTTGGCATTCGAAAGATTACGCTTACATGGTGTTGCCATTAATATTCAAAAGTTTCAGATAGGCGTTGGCCCACTTAACTTTCTGGACCACACCACGGACTGTAAAGGTATTTGCCCACTGGGCAGTAAAGTTGAGGCGGTACTGAACACACCAAAAACCCTCTTGGCATCTTTCTTATCCCTGATGCTCGTTTCAAACACGTTTGTATAAATTTGGTATGTTCCTGCATAAACAGGAATAAATTATACTATAGTTCTGACGTTTTGTTTTGCTTTTGGTCCACGTGGAACGATTACTATAACGGTTGTAGGTATTAAATCTTGCGTTGTTATACTTCGTACTATCCGTGAACGTCAATACCTTTAGCCACTTGAAACCTCTACCTGAAGGCTTCTAAAACTGATTCAAGTACCCATATCATGATTTTATGGTTACTTGTATTATGTACGCTTGACGAGTATCTGTCGTTTTATAACTGAACATTCTTTTCGAGTGTTTTATTAATTTATTTGTGCGGTTACTTACGAGTTTCGTCTGTGTACTTCTAAGTTCGGTTTTTCTTACAAAAGATACTTTTTAATGCAACATTGTTAGTAGTTTATCGCATTCAGAGCTTAGTAAATAGCAGAACGTGAATACGTGGATGTATTATAGTATAATGTAGTTACCTGTTCGCTGTGAAGGGAGAGAGCTAAAAATGGTCGAAACCGAAATTTCTCCATCTCAACTTAACTTACAGTGGTCTGTAGAGGACGGTAAGTAATTAATACAGAAACAACTTCACAAACCATTTCCGGCAGGTCAGACGTGACTGGCCTCAAACAGTTGTTTCGTGTGTGTTCTCTGAATGCGTAATACCAACTCCGTAGCAAAGACCCCGAGAAAACGTCAGGATGGGTAGTTTCTTAAGCGTAAATGGGCTAAAAGTCTTGTCAACGACGTGAACAGAGTTGGGTGGCAAAACTGGAAGAGGTGTAAAAGACAATGGTGGCAGTTAACTATTCCGGTCTATCTGAAGAACAGGTAAAAAGGCGAACGATAGGTGAAGCAATTAAGTGGCCTTCCCCTTTTTGTGAAGTGGCGACACCCCTATTCCGTGAGTATCAAGGTGTTTCAATAAGTAGGTTAAAGTATACCAGCATTATTTCATGAAAATTCGATAATATACGTTCCACTTTTGGCCTTACTGTCTCCATTAAATGCATTACATTAAACAGATATCAGTATCAAGTGGCGTTTCTTGATAAAAGTGCAGCAAATGCAATGCAGTTCAAGAGTGTAATTCCACCTGTAATATGTACACCAGGAAACAATTTTCAGTGTGAAATTTCATTTACGATGCATTCGAAAATATACCCTGTCAATAAACCACCAGAGCGACTTACTACGATAGTGGAGTAAGTGTGTATGACGTATTAATATTATTGTTGCCTTGGGTTCCTATTGGAACATAGGGCTTCAACTGCACGTCTCCAAATGCTTCTGTCTTCTGCTGTACTTTTCACCTGTGTCCATGTTAATCCATACTGTTTCAACTCCTCTTCACATGATCTCCTCCGTGTCACCCTCGGACGTCCCACTCACTGATTCCCCTTCGGGTTTCATTCAACGGCCTGATGCACGCGCGATGTCACCCAGCGGCCTCCTCAGCGAGTGTCCAATCCATCTCCACTTTCTCCTGCATATTTGTTGGTTGGCGATTGGTTCTTGTTTTGTTTGTTCCTATAGTTTCTTGCTGGTGATTCTTTCCGGCCTGGCGATCTGATCTTCAGTATAGAGCGAAGACAGTTGTTGATAAAGGTCTGAGTTAGCCTGTTGGAAATATTCTTTGTGACCCGCCCGCCAAGTTTCTGATCCGTATAGAAGAACTAACTGACTTGAGGTTTGTACTGAGAATCCAAATTTTGTTGTTGATGCTGAGTGACGAAGATTTCCAGATTGGTTTCAGGTTGATAAATGCTTTTCTCGCCTTCCCGATTCTCGCTCGATTTAACATCTTCGTCTGTTCCGACTGTCTGTAGTTGAGACAATGCTCCCTAAATAAGTGCATGAAGTAACCTCTTTCAAATCCCTCCCGTCGGTAGGATTGGCGCTGGATGTTGCTGCTCTTGTTGTTGTTTGGTTATTTCCATAACCTCCGTTTCGTCTATGTTCACTTGGAGTCCCGTCTTTGCCGCTTCTCCTACCAGTTTGTCCGTCGTCGCTTGTAAGTCTTCGATTTTGTATGATGACAAACACAAATCATCCACGCGCGAAATCCAGGTCTTCTAGGTTCTTCACATCGGTCCAGGATATCCCTGTCTGCTCGTTTCCCACTGTCCGACGCATTATCCAGTCCACCACAATTAGGAATATCATTGGTGATAATACGCACCCCTGTCTGACTCCTGTGTTTACTGCAAACGTCTCGCTGAGTTTTCCGTTGTGGATGACTTGACATGTGCCGTTGTCGTACAGCTTTTGAGTAAGGTTGATGAACATTTGGGGTACGCCGTAGTACTCGA